GTTCGAAGGCTTTGATGGCCGGCCTGGAGTCGCTGTAGATGAATTCCCGTTTGCTGTCGAGCATAGCTATAGCTATAGCTATTTGCTCCGCTACTTCGGCGTTTCGGGTGAGGATTGTGGCAGAGTTAAGAGTCTGCTGCGTGGATGATACCACGACCACGGTGAAGGCTTGGTTGTTGTGATAGGCAGTGGCGTCCACGAACGAGACGTTGTCCGCTTCCATGTGTATGCGCTTGAGAATGGCGGTTGCCCGCGCAAGGCGCCTGCCTCTGTTGTATTGGGGTGTACATTTTGTGGAATGGGAGTGATCGTGATAAGGTCACGGATTTCATGTGGAATTAGGGTCAACTATGGGGGGGTCCTTGACCCTGCAGGAGAATAAGCCGAGCTCGCGCAGAATATTGCGGCCCGCCTTGGTGGTGGTGAGTCGGGTCGATTGCACGCGTTCCTGAGCTTCGGCGATCTCTTCTAGCGTGTTATGTATGCCAAGCTTGAGGAGTTGGTACGTTGGAGTGGTGATAGGGAGGCCAAATGCTGGTTTGACCACCTTGCAAATAGGCGCATTTAGTTGATCACGCTCAGCACGTAGCCATTTGTGTATAGCAGCAACGTAGGTGAAATGGCACAAAACAAACGCGTGTACGAGACACAGCAGGTTGTCTTCTATGAAGCCATGGTGCCTGTTGGCTACTCTACGTACTAGTGGTATGGCATTCTCAATCTTAGTCCTGAGCTTGTGTACTGTTTGGGTGTTGGTCCCACGGGACTCGATGATCATGCCGAGGACCTTGATGGTGTCTACCCTGGGTACAGTACAACCATCCCTGGTGTGGAGGGTAATATTGCAATCCACCGGAAGTTTCCACCCTTTTCATTTGACACCCCGGCGTTTGGGCAATATATCAACAGCTCCGACTTCGCGGGTGAGCACCTGAGACCGGTGTGGTCGAGGAAGGACTCGGCGGTGTCGATTGCCTTTTGCAGGGCAGACTCAATGAAGCCATCCGACCCTGTGGAGCACCATATGGTTGCATCATCCGCATAGATAGTGTGATTGAGCACATCGATTTTCGAAAGTCGTTCGGAAAGCCCGATCATCACAAGGTTCAAGAGCGTGGGTGAGAGGACGGATCCCTGAGGAGTGCCCTGCTGTCCGAGCTCCACTTCTTCCAACACAAGGTCTCCTACGCGGAGGACGGCTCTGCGTCGAGTGAGAAAAGAGCGGATAAAGTAGTAAAATCGATGACTTCGGACGAGGGCTGCGATCGCTTTCAAGATTGACGAGTGCGTTATTGTATCAAAGGCCTCTTCTAAATCGAGACCGAGTATTGCACGAGTATGCCGAGTGTTTCCTCCATCTAGAATTTTATGCTTTAGGAGTATCATGGCATATTGAGTGGATAACCCTGGTCGGAAGCCAATCATGTGGTGTGGGATGCAGTCGTTATCTTCAAGGTATCGACCAACCCTGTTGAGGACGACGTGCTCAGCCACTTTGCCCACGCACGATGTGAGAGATATGAGGGCGTAGATTATCTAGGCTCGGCGCCTTTCCCGGTTTGGGTATCAGAATTGTGTGAGCTTGTTTCCAGGCATTGGGTATCTCACCCTTTTTCCATATTTCGCTGATAGTGTCGGTGAGGTAGGTGACAGAGGGATCGTCCAGGTTGCGTATGAGCTTGTTGGTGATGCCGTCGGGGCCAGGGACTGAGCAGCCATTGAGCTCATGGAGAGCTCGGCACAGATCTTATAGAAAAGTCGGCGCCTAAGTTGGTGTTGTCGCTGCCAGAGTAATCGGGGTGAGGGGTCACAGGGCCCGTGGAAAGCGGGAGATATTTTTCCACGAGGTTCTTGACAACATCTTCCGGTAACACTGTCCGTTTAGCTTGATGAAGTATCTTCACGATGAAATGACGCTGATTTGTGCGGGTGTTGGTTTCATTGAGGTGTTTCAGTAAGTTCTACGTTTTGTCTTTATGAACCTGACCATCAATCGAGTTACAAATTTCGTCCCACTGCTGTTTTGAAAGAGTGCGGCAGTGATCCATCATGGCCTTGTTCAGCTGAAAACAGTGGTTCAGTGGTAGAATACTCGCATGCCTCCTTAGCTTGCTGTAAAGTAAATTGCTATGGAACAGTAAGAGGGTTTTGACCAGTACCTCCTTAACTTCATTCAATGCCAGTGCAATCTTGTGCTTTTACACGAGACCCATCGGTTCGCATTAGTTCAAGTTGTGGTCGTAATGCGGGCGCATTGCATGAGTGGTAGGGCTGCTTGCGTCACGCGTGCTTCCTAGCACTTTCGCCAGGAGATGCGATAGACGTGTGTCCCTCTCCCTTATTACGAGTCTTTCCGATTTGTTCCTTCACGCCCCTCCTTCGTGGGTCGAAGCATGGTTGCCGCCACCTCACAACGCTATTTATGCAGCGGCGTCAACGTGACGCAACTCCATTTGCGTCCCGCATAGCGCCACGAATAATGACATGTTAGCTGAAAGCACCGTTTTACTTACAAAGCCAGCGGGACCGCCAAGACTATGATCACGACGAACGTAAGTTGCCACCCAACTGATTAGGACACAATCGAACAAAAATTAAGTTATCTCATTCCCATCTAGAGGCACTGCTAGAGGGGCTTTTTTCCCCACGACCGCAAACCACACGCGAAGTCTAGGCAGTGGGCGAGAGGAGGAAAGGCTTACATAGAGGGTGCTGAAAGGCTGGATCAGGCGCATATGGCTTTTCTTGATAAAACAGTGAGAAGGTGACAAATACGACTGTGGGATCAAGACGCGAATACAATGAAAACGTTGTCACGCACGCCGTCAACCCTTTCCTCTAGAGACATGTAACATACTCGTATACAACAATCTAAGGTATTCGGGTATGCCCACCGATGACTGATCATTATCATCTATACAGGAACGTCAAGAGCGAACATAGGTAATTTAAATGCGAGAGCATCAAGACAAGCCATAAGGGCAGCGTTGGCTGGATGAATGTGAAGTATAAAAGTGAGGAGCCGAGCAGGAATTCGACCGGACTTTCTCGGTGGAAGTCATGTATATTGCCACAAAATCATGCCAAGTCTTGACACTGCCTTAAAAACACATTCTGCGGGCTTAATGTCTGTAAAATGTCAAACGGTTGCAGTGCTTGGTGTATACCACCAATGCAGAGCAATAAATATTGCACATGTACCCCTATGACACAGGCGTCATGTGATGCTATGGTGAACTCGGCTGCATTGTTAGCCCAATAAGTATATATATATATATATATATATATATATATATATATACCGTAATGTTTTTTAGACTAATAAACATTGCATTTTTATTCCTATGATTTATAAAGCCATTTTGAAGTGTTTCATGACCCCAGTGCAGTAAGCAAACGCAAGTTACCTATCCTATTCAGTTCATTGCACCTTAACGTGTCGTTTTTAATAATGCCGACGCCTGTGCTCCTATGTCAGTCCTGACGTTTTATCAGCTCATAAGTTTTCCCTAAATGTCAGTGTTTTTGGCATTGACTACTACACTTACACTTACAAAAAGATGCAGATCTTCTACACTTACAAAAAGATGCAGATCCACACACACCTTATAGCACTTCTCTCATAGCCAAGAGATTCAGCATAGACACTACAGCGACTGTTTCGAATGAATACATTTTTCAAAGACCTGGGGTCTCTAGAGTTTTTTTTAAGTAGTTTCGAGCACTAGCATGCTTCTGTAACAGGACAACTGACTCCCCAAGGAGTATGCCTTGATTTGGTTTGAAGTCTAACGCCTATCTTTAGTCCTCGCTCTCACCGTAATTTCTTGAAAACAAGCCACGCGCCAACCCCGACAGTGACAGTGTGAGACCTACGACCAGGAACTTTGACGTATTTCCAAAAATAAGCAGCAACAACAGAACACACTCGACAATCACTGCAATAGCAAAGATGGTGGCAGCACAGAATAGTCACTAATTTTGTGCATTAAATGGTTTTTTTAACACGGTAATTTGGAAGATTTGTGCTCAGCGCAACGCCACGTGTCGGTTCGGTACATAGCAAAGAAAAACTACGCGCGTATACTTTGTATTTTTTTTCAATTGTTTCCGTAAGTAGTTCAAGGATAAGAGACCTCAGATGAAAGACATCGCCCACCATACATTCGTGTTAAAAAGAGCAAGAAGACTACTTTTTTCCGTCAGTAAAGCAGCATCTACTGTACAGATGGAAGGAAGTAGCTAACGTTAAACGGCTTAGTATAGTTTTCACCCATGCACCTTCATTCTTTAGTAGAGCGTTTATTTTTCGTCCATCTGAAGCAGGGAGAGGCACACGAGCTGCTGTCTCCCTTGCCGTATACGACGAAACAATGATGCTTCTCCTGGCGCTGCTATCACACACTAGAAAACTGCCCTACACAGTGTGTAGGCTCGAAACCCAAATTCTTTTGTCTGCATGGCCTAACTCTTACTTACTTTAATGAAATACAATACTGGGTATGCCGTGCCAAAGCTTTCATTGTGGTGTCGTATCTATTGCTGCATAATAAAAGGTGTATTTTTGAGAGTATTTTTTTTGGGGGGGGAGGATTTTCGTTAACTCCACTGTTTTATCAGAGCATAAATTCAGACACAAAACGTCAAAGCTGTTTCCACGCGTAGCAAACGTCTTTGTTGCGCACCGACTTCATCTTGCAACCCTTTAGTGAGAACACTAAGGAAGCATGTATTAAACAGTGGCAAAATGCAACAGGCCCTGACCTCCGACCCTATTAACATGGCTTCGCCACAGCTTGGTATTGCGCAAAAATCTACCGCTACGGAAGGTAAGAATTGAGCTCGCAGTATATAAAAAAAATCAAAATGATATAAGCCGACGTAAACCTCGTATCACCTGGAAAGTACAAATGTTTTTATTTATACTCCCTCGTTAGGTGCTTTCTGCAACAATACATCAATGTGTACCATACGAGCCGAGGGTTCATCCCTTCGCTTACCATGCGCTTGAGAAGGTTTCTCACTGGAAACTCTCTCCATTCGACATCTTCTGTGCTGGCAGGTTGACCATCAAGAAGACAGCAGTGGCCGGAATCAAGGCGGCACTGTTAGAAGCAGCTCTTGCAGTAAACGTGTAGGCAGGGCAAGAGTGCTGTCACTCTGGGCACTAGTCCGCAGGCTTGGCATACTCGATACGACGGAAGGGGCTCCGCAAATCTCAGTGGTCTCCAGTCTAACTCATTCGAAAAACCAACCACGGTGCATCGCTGTGTCTGAGTGAGCATGGCGATTGCACCTTCAGCGATTCCAGAGTTAGGGCAACTTCCACCTGTTGGAGCACAGAACAACGTCAATTTTGTTATCGAAGTGATGGTTTCCATGACTGCTATCACGCTGATAAGTCTTGCAGTCGGCTTGAAGCCAAACCTTGGTTCCCACTTCTCACATCGAGAATATACGCCCACGTTGCGCAAATAAACTCAGAGCTAAAGAGCGGCTGTGTGACGAAGGGAGACCGTACTATGACAATCGCACGAAAGAATATTTTTAAAAACAAGGGAAATCTAGAAAGTGTTTCAAAACAGAGATATTTAGAGATAAACTGCCGTAGTCACCTCCTGCTCTTGAGGACAGCGCACTCATGTGGTCTGTTGATTAGCCTATAGAGTGTGATAGCGGTCGAGTTTGACCTTGCGTGTGTACTACAAGAGTTAGAATCATAGGTGGTTGGGCGAAGCTTTCGTAACAAAACCTTATTTGGCTATGATTCAGATGTAAATATACTTATCAAGATTCTCTCAAAAGTATCTTTGAAGTTTAGAGAAGGAGAAGGAAACTCACGAAATTCAAGATTCTTCTAGGAAAAAAATGAGGAGCAATGTTTGGGCTGTGCGTGCCATGTTTGCCACGTTTCTTTCTTTAGTCTCAAGCAGTGATTGTCTTTGTCACTTTTTCGTCCCTGCGTATCTCACTACGTTGTTGAGAAGTATTTTATTGTCGCTGCTTCTTTCTTGCACCCTATCAGTCAGTGTTTTTGTGTATGCGCTGTGACCATGTCTGATATTGCCTCTGCTAGTTTCTTCTTTCTATCATTCTGTTTTTTTTCTTTATTTGTGTTTATATCTTCGGCGAACGAAAAAATTGATATGTTGCAGAAGTGGCATCAGTGTGCGCCAGTGCAGTTTGAAATATGCTTAATCAATCACGTCTCGTAGCCCGAACTTGAGTGGTTGGTCACGTGTTCGTATCATGGCGAAAAAAAATGGGACAAATTAATAGGACGACTGATCTGGACAAAACGTTATACGATCGTAATAATACCTAAAGTAATACCTAAAGGCCGACAAGTCCGTGATTGAGAGATCATACGAATGCATGTCAGCGTGGAGCTGTGGCCAGTCTAGGGACACACAAGAACCACTTTACAAATGGTTGACGTGCCAATTTTGTGAGACCAAATTTGATGATATCACTGCCACACGCGTCTTGTGGCTGGAAGGGCTTGGGGACCTTCTAAACAAAAAATTTTGTCTGTCTGTACGATCGTCTATTTGTCCACCCTTAACGTTACCGGCCATTTCAAACGGCAGCAGCTGATACCCCAAATGGCCGAACCTATCCGCAGTGCCAAGCAATGTTGCTCAAGCTTCAGCGTTAATACTTGTTCGATTGTCAAATACAAAGAAATTATCGCGCATTTCTAAGGCACCTTAACAACACGTATATATTCCGCATGTGCGCCTTTTACTAGAAGCGGCATACATATAAGTTATTCTGAGGACAGTAGCGTTTATCACGCGCCGCTGACTATGCAACGATTGCACGAAAAGGGAAGTATTGACAACGCTTGGCTAGGACGACACGGTGGTGGCACTTAACCGTCACCTTGCGTTCTACACCTTATTACCTCTGATACGGGCGCTCACGCCCGTCTAAGAGCCACGAGTCTTGGTTTCCAAGATAACTGCCAGATAGCGCTCATGTATCACGTTTGATAAGAGTTGGTGCGCTCGTTCGCCTCCACTGCACGCTCGAGGCACTCTAACGCGGCGCCTCCAGAATACCTTTTATTGATTTTATCACGTAGAACATCAAATAAACGTTTTGTTCAATCTCTGCAGACGCAAAACTATCGCCTTTCGACGACTTTGCAGATTAACATGCAGATACGGGGCAAATTTTTAAGCTATGGTCCTCAGGCTTGGCCGACCTTGACCACCCAATCTGAGGACGTTACGCCATTCATTTTTACACTTGCTGCATGAGCCACATTTGCAGCAGTCAGCCGCAGTGGTGTAACGGCTAAAGTGCTCCGCTGCAGACACGAAAGGTGCCAGTTTGATTCTGGCCATGGTGGTCACATTTTCATGGAGGCCAAATGGTAGACGCCTGTGTGCAGTGCGATGTCAATAGACGTCAAAGAACTCCAGATAGCTCCTACGTCTGAATCCCTCTAGTGTTGCGTCTCTCATAAACTTATGGTTGTTTTTAGGCGTAAAACCCAAGATGTGGTTGTTACATAGGCATGTGCAATTTTGACACGGCAATATATTATGCGTCTGTGCGCAGCTTTAGAGTACAAAACAGACAAAAACAAAAGCACCATACCCTGGTGACACGCAAACCGCCGACGGCTGCCATCAAGTGCACTCCAAGTGTCGCGTTTATGACATATTACGACGGCCCACCAGAATCCGCAACTAGCAGAAGTCACAAGGTCACAAGTTGTAAAGTACTCCTACACTTATGTGTGGGCGAATATACGAGATAAAAAAGCACTGATCCCTTTGGGCAACGCCAAGGGGGCGCACAAATATCAGCGCTCATTCCATTAGCCGGTCAATTCGATTCTCAGAGCAGATTATCAAAGACAAAATACATTAAATTTAGGTACCGCAATACACCCATTGATAAGGAAATAACCAATTCTTATGCACGATCGAAACAGGAGCAAATAACATACCGAAAGTTTATTTGAGTAACGTTTAATAAAGAGTTAAGCTGGAATGCACATATGAGCCAACTGGATATAAACTTTCCAAAAGTATTAGTATTGTGCATAGACTTTTTAAACTGATTCCTCTATGGTTGAAACAGAAGGTATACAATTGCCTTTTGCATTCTAAGCTTTGCTACGGAGCTCTGGCGTGGGGAACGATAACTAAAGAAACTGTAAGAATCTTGTACTTTTACAAATAAAAGTTCTCCAGCTGTATTCCAGCCTGAAAAGAAATGACGCAAACTGGAGAACAACACCTCTATTTCAAATACATAATATGCTTCGTGCTGATTAAGTCAACTACATGGAAATTGCAGAAGGGTTTCCTGAAGGGCCAGATGGTACATGATACTGAGGAGAACAGCGCAACAAAACGGGAAAGGGAAAGAAAAGAACACACGACAGAAACGCTGACGAACAACTGTGTGTAAATTATTACGCCTGGAAATATATAGCTGAAAGCGGAAAACAAAAACAAAAAACCATCACTTGCACATAGGAGTGAGAGGCGAAAGCGATTCTGCCTCGAGTCGAAATGTGTAAATTGCCCCGCCGCGGTGGTCTAATGGCTAAGGTACTCGGCTGCTGACCCGCAGGGCGCGGGTTCGAATCCCGGCTGCGGCGGCTGCATTTCCGATGGAGGCGGAAATGTTGTAGGCCCGTGTGCTCAGATTTCGGTGCACGTTAAAGAACCCCAGGTGGTCTAAATTTCCGGAGCCCTCCACTACAGCGTCTTTCATAATCATATAGTGGTTTTGGGACGTTAAACCCCACATATCAATCTATCAATCAAATGTGTAAATTACCTACTCAAATACATTATCTCTTATTCCAGAAGCATGAGTGAAGGCTGATTGACGCCCATGTTTCCTTACCTCTTGATATAAATTATCATCATCATCATTCTCATCATAATCATCAGCCTGACTATGTCCACTGCAGGACAAAAGCCTCTCCCATGTTCTGCCAGTCAACTCGGTCCTGTGCTTGCTGCTGCCAATTCATACCCGCTAACTTCTTAATCTCATCTGCCCACCTAACCTTCTGTCTCCCCCTAACCCGCTTGTCTTCTCTGGGAATTCAGTCAGTATGAAAAGCCTCGGTAATTTCGCGCAATGTTTTCTGTTTTCAGCTACATATTATCAGGCATAATATATTTACACACAACTGTTCGTCAGCGCGTCTGTCGTGTGTTCATTCTTTCTCCGTCCCGTTTTTTTTTTTTTTGCGCTGCTCGCTAACACGCAAATGTTACAAATTATATACATCAGCGAATTTTACGAGCACAATGCAGAAGGTATACAACACAGTTATTCCATCCGCCAAATCTTACGCCGTCCTCAACGAACACGAACAAACTATGGCAAACGAACGTTTATTTACGTAACAACCCCCATAAATAAAGGATCAAACGAATTGAAACATTTCCTTAATTTTTATTGTACGGAAAGTCCTTCAAGGTGCAAGTTAATAAAGTGCTAATGCAGGTGAACGTACGCGTTGATGGATCATAAAAAAGTGTAATAGGCCAGTGATGAAAATTTCTACTAAATGTGTTGTGCTAACTACGAAAACGCTATGCATATCACATGTCTCTAATGTTCTTGACTAATCTTTTTTCCTGATTGATGATCACATGTTAAGCATAAACGTGCTGTGTATAGTTAAAGCCACATTCAATGGAACATGAAATCTTTTGTGCGATTTATTTTCTCCATTTCTTCTTTTGTTCATGATAGCATGGATGTCGAGAACACAGTTTTTTTGGTGCATTTGTTTCTTTTTCAATCAAGGCTGATTATTGTAAAAATATGTGTGCTGTACTATCCGCGTAAAGAAGTGTTTTGTTTCTGTCAGGCTATATGCCTTTAGCCCCAACATTTTTTCTGTTTTTTTGACAAAAAACAATTTTTTGATTTGAATTTGAAAAAGCTGCATTCTCAGTCTGATGCATTGTTTGTCCCCCACTCACTTTGAAGTCTTCTGCACGTCAGCGGTGTCGCATAACATCTCAAATCTAGTCGTGTTCGACCAAGGATCAAGGTCAAGCGATCCCGTCACACATTTCAGAGATTTACGTGGTGATGACGCTTCAAAAGGGCGACACCTGTAGATCGAAGTGACATATCAGTTGTCGAGAGCGACTTCCGGTGAATGTTTCAACATATTTTCACCTAAAAAAGTTCTGAAATATTTTCTTTTAACGCATCTGTAGCGTTTAAAACTCACCTCATGACGGGGAAAGAAGTAGGGAAGTCGCTTAGAAAGGGCAGCGCAAGAAGACGGAGAAAAAAAAGTCAGTAGAGGC